ATCAGTAGAGTGGAGAGTATTGGCTTTATACGTTGACAAAACTAGAATATTATGCAGATTACATAATGATTTTAGATAAATTTGACTGTTTCAGAAAAGTTTTTTTTCTGAAACAGTCAAATTTAAAAACTAAGTTTTCAGAAAAACTTAATTTTTTTCATTGATTATTTCAAAGTTTTTATTTTCTTGTTTTTTTAATAAAGTTCAGGAATTTTAATGCTTTTTCTTGAGCATACCTCACATTTTCATACCTCTGGTATTGAAATGTAAAATCTCTAGGGATGTCTGATTGGAGAAGGAGAATATTTTTTGTTTGGCTTTTCTGACTTATACCAAGATTTCCAACTTTTCAGAATTGAAATTTTATACAATGTAAGATTTTGCAATTAAGTTCCAGATTATATGACCTTTAAAAAAATTCCATGTTAGAGCAAAACAGTTTTTAATATTGTTTGAATGATTGTTTTTAATCTCTGAAAAATATTAATTTTTGCACTTGAGCAGAATTTTATTTTTTATTGACACATTTTAATTTGCTGTCATTATTTTTTCTTGTTTTTGTTATTTTATCTTCAAATTATATATCTTTCAATATTGATTTGATTTCGGTAAACAAGAAGTACTCTGCAAGAGATTGCCCCCTGTTGTTTACTTTGAAGATCAAGGTGATCATCCCATGTTTAGAATTTACACTGATGGTTCTAAGATGAGTGGCGATGTGGATGCCGCTTTTGTAGTTACTCCGACTTAGTCCACGAGCTTCATAACACTTGCTTCCATCTAGGTATACACAGGCAGAAACTGTAGCTATTTATATGAACTTAATTCACATTAGGCATAGGAAGGACAAAAGACACTACTTCAAAAGACATTTATTCTGACAGTAGGATAGCTTTACACAGGATTGCAAAGTCTGATAGTTGCTTAATACTCATCCATCTCATACACCACATTCTTAGACACTTAGACAACAACATTAGAATAGATTTCCAATGGGTCCTGGGTCATGCGGGGGTACTCGGCAACGAGACCACTGATCGTCTTGCCAAACAAGCTGCAAAGTCTTCAGTCACTAGTACTTTCAGTTCATTCTTACCTCATACATCAGCAATCATGTCAAGAAGCAAATCTTTATTCTCTGGCAAGATAACTGGAACCATGACACCACTAGTAGGCTCACCTATACTTTCATCTCCAAGGTTTACACTACTGCAATTTTTTGCCACTTTTAACCTAGTTACACCCTCACTCAGCTACTTACAGAACAGGGCAACATTAAGCAATACTTGCATAGATTTAACCTTGGGGACAATCCACAATGCGATTGTGGTATTCAGGAGGACCAAACACCACTTCACTTAGTTTTTTGCTGCAATAGGTACAGTAAAATCACATTATGGATAGTTTAATGAGAGCTGTTATTCTTGAAGGGTGCAACTGGCCTTGCAACCTGCATCAACTTATCCACACACATAGAATGTTCCATCATTTACTCACATTTATATTCCTTAGTGGGGCTCTTGAGAGCACTCATTCCGGGGGCACAGATGGCAACTAGCTTTCCCTTGCTTTGTTTCAACTGTTGGTATATAGCTACCTTTCAACTTTGTAATTTAATTCTTATTTTTTGCCTTCTTTTTCAGACTAAATTCAGTTAGTCCTAGTTCTAAGTTAGATTAGGGACTCTTAGCTTGGTTTCCGGTTAGGTTATGATAGATTAGGTTAAATTAGATTAGGGTTTGTTAGCTNAGGAAGACTGAACTATGACATGACCCAGGAGCCAGGAACACGATGAGAGAGATATAGCAACCCACAGAGAATCACCGGCAGTTGTAGACCCAGGTAGACCATTTTATCCTTTTGCACAAAGATGCCGAAACACATGAAGTCATGGGTGTTGAAGGAAAGGGATTGGGATGAGAATGAGCCGGGGATGTTTGGTGATCATAGCCAAGACAGGCAGGAGGATTGGTCATGAGGAGAAGGTGATCAGATCTTCAGGCGCAGGGTAAATGCATCTAAAAATGAACCGTGAGATGAACTTGAAAAGCTAAGACTGCGGGCCAATATAAGAAAGTCTGAGAACGAGTTAGAATGGGATAAGTTGCGTAAAGAGACCTGGAACTTGGAGGACAGTACCACCATGAGAAATTTTGACAATTGATCATGAAGTGAAGGTGACTGGATTGTTGGGACGGCAAACTCGATGAGGTACGAATTACGAGATGAAAAAGAAGAGTTAAAGGTGCAGATTGAACTCATGAAGTCCAAGTTAAAGTGGGAAAAGATGTATTACGAGTCTCAAAACTCTGCAGATAGGAACGCCAAGGAAAATTATGATGGTCAAACGTGAGGTGAAGGTGATCAGACCTTTGGGGACAAAGCAAACTCAACGAGGAATCAATCACTAAGTGAACTTGATGAGTTAAGGCTGCGGGCTGAAAGCTCGAGAGAGAAAGAAAAGGCGAGTTTTGATTTGAGAAAAACAGAACTTGTATTAGAGCAGGAAAAACAGCACTTTAAGACACGGAACTTGGCAGACCGAGTCATCAGGAAAGGTTTAGCTGATCCGGTGCAGAAGAGACAACAGACACTGTCCAGATGGCCAGGAGAAGGGGAATTGCTTTTATGGGGCCGTACAGATACCCACGAGGTCTCAGAGCCATGATGAAGGCAGAGAGTACTGAGCACAGTAGCGAGGGAATTCGGTGGGATGAGTAACGAGGCTAGATAGCCTCGACTTGTTGCTATGGGAAAGCCAAGGCTGAAGACAGAGCAAGGGAAATTGTGTAATAAGACGCAGAACTCTGCATCTCATTACCAAGAGAAAGGTTGACTATTATACACAGGGAGTTCAAGGGACACTGCCCAGACTATGAGGAGGAGAGAAAACGTCTTCTCTTTCCCACACTAAGGGATTGGTTCTGGAAACCCATGGGGTACCAGAGGGGTCACCAGAGCGGAGCATACTAAGCACAGTGGCAGAGATGATTGAGGAAGTGAGTAATGGGGCTAGGCAAGAGCCACTCGTTACTAAGGGAAAGGTGATAGAAATGGGAGACAGCTTGACAATGAGGGCAGGGATAGATGACTGACCCTCAGCACAAGAATCTGGAAAGATAATGGAGGCGAGTAGATTAATCAAGAACATTGAAGCAGACAGTGAGATTGCAACAGAACAGGCGGACTTGAGGAAAAAGCAGTGCACAGCCCACTACTACTTACAGGTGCAGCCCGAGGAGGATAGGGTAGAAGATACAGCACTAATTGGGAAGATGCATTCTGATAATGAATCAGATGACCATCAGGAGGGATTGGCCGCAATAGAACAATGGGCGCACAAAGATGATTATGAGGTGAGGTTAGAAGACGAAGGGACGAAGTCAGTTACTATAGATAAGCTTTAGAAGTACCGTAACTAAGCCTGGTTACGATACTTCTGAAGTACTAACATAGTATCAGCTTCAGGGAGATAGTAGAGACTCCTTCAATACAGCAGTCAGACGACCGAGGGCAGGAAAGTGGAAAAACTAGCAAAGTTTCGCTAGTTTTTCCTTTGTTTGTGGCACAGGATGACCTTCGTAACACTTTTAAGGAAAATCATTAGGGGATTCAGTTAGGCTTTTTGGGCAATGGGCAAACACAGTCTTGGTAACTGTCTCACTAGTTCAGAGGGAGGAAGGCAGTGGGAAGTCCCATAGAGCTCAGAGAGCAACTCGCAGGATCACTTACAAGCTCAGAAAGGCAAGGGAGACAGCTGACTTAGCGGGAGGAGAGAACCGACTCGCTGCCGTAGTGGATGTGGGAGCGGAGATAGCAGATCTTGGGGAATCAGGAGGTACTGCTGTATTTGCTTAATATGATTTTGATATATTCAGTAACATCAAGAAATTTATTAATCACATTAGGCTAATATCAGATGAGCATGATTTTATGTCTGTCATTTTTCATGGACATCATGGGATTGCATAAAATCTATGGGAGTGATCAGACAGACGCGGACGTGAAAAATTACGTTGTATGGCATTGATGGACAACGTGATGCTACTCACAAAAATATAGGCAAAGATTAGTGATTACGCTCCAACATAAGAGTGTAAGGGTATTTACAACAACACTAATATATTTTAACTTAATTTAAATAATCAGAAATTTCATCCAGAATGTGTTCTTGCTGATGGAAGTCTCTCCTAGAGTTTTGAGCATATCAAAGATGATTATATTTGAATATATCTATTACAGATAATTCAACCTTCTTAGAAGTACTGTACAGTTCAGATATTGTACTGTACTCATAAAAACTATCTGACTTGCTGATGGGAGTTGTGAAAATGTATCGGCCTTTTAACCAGTTTTAATATTTATCAATACAAAAAAATAAAATTTTTAACAAATTATACTCATCTGGCTTTCAGACTATTATACAGAAATTAAACTTCAATAAATGTTAAAAAGATATATTTTTAAAGTTTTACTATATTTAATAATTTCATTTTAATGTAAAATCAATTTGAATTTGATAATTTTGCTTATAAAAGTCTTAGAAAGATTCTAAATTTTGTATAAACTATATATTATCAATGATACTGCAGTGGGTTCTGTATCAAAAAGTGAAAGTTTCTAGGAGAACCAAAAAAGTTGATTTTATTTACTTAAGTCTTATTGTCAAGGAGAGAGTTTCTTCATTTCTATTGGTTCCTTACTTACAACCTTTTGTAAGATGTTAAAGTATTTTGATTACAATAATATCAAAATTGAATATTTTTGACAAATGACTGATGATATGTCAGTTGTAGAATAATCAGATTGAAAAGAATAATTTACATTCATTTAAGATTAAAACCCATATAATATATATACAATTAATTTAAAATTTTTCATTTTTGTTTAAATACATAAATTTGAACATTTACCTTTTTTATTTATAAAGTTTTTACAATCCATAATTTTGAATTATTTTTAATATAATAAGTATTAATTAAATGTATATTTTTATTTAGCTTCAGCAGCTGTGGTTAAATATGTTGTCAAGGGTATAGAATCTACTCAAAAAGAATTTGGAGTTGATGGTGCAAGTTCCGAGGTACAAGAAATAATGACTTACTTGAAAGCTGTTCATGAGTTAAAACATACGACTGATGAACATGTAGCAGCTCGATTAATTGAAACACACGATTTAAGTTTTGAACATATTCCTACTCCCCTGCTCAAATCCAAAGAGGTACAAAAATAGAAATTATTTTTTTTATTTAAAGATTAATGAAAAAATGTGTGTATAAAATAAAATAATTTACATTATATACAGGGTGGTTATAATTAAAGTTGCTCTACTCAGACCTATCTAGAGCATGTTCTCGTGGATGTATTTTGATGAAACTTGATATGTTATATGGACCATGGGGAAAAGAAAAATGCAAAAAAAAAATATTTAGTTTGAATTTTTACCACTAGGTGAAAAAATGGCACACAAAGAACAAGAAACACAAAATGGAAACACGCAAAAGGTTTTTATTCACAACATTTGTTCAATGTGCAATCCATTTGCATCAGTCATGTGTTCAAAATGCCTTACAGCATTGTAAGATGTTTTGAACATGTAGTTCAAAACATGACTGATGCAAATGGATTGCACATTGAACAAATGTTGTGAATAAAAACCTTTTGCATGTTTCCATTTTGTGTTTCTTGTTCTTTGTGTGCCATTTTTATATTTAGTGGTAAAAATTTGAACTAAATATTTTTTTTGCATTTTCCTTTTTCCCATGGTCCATATAACATATATACAGTAAAATCTGTCTTTGGCAGCTGCCCATGGTTCCTTCAAAAAGTCGTCTTTTAGACAGATGGTTGTCCAATACAGGTGGTGCTGTAATACTGTATTTCCGTACATGTTTTGTGCACTTTTTAGCTATTTCTACTAAGCAAAACTCAAGGTGAGCAAAAGTAAGCGAATTTTTTCAACGATAGGGCTATATTGGTATTGTATTATATTCTTATTGATTTACAGGAGTCATCTGATTTTATAAGACAAATTTAATACCAACATTTTAAAGATTAATACAATAGTCGCATATGCTTGATTATAATGCACACTTTCTTTTTTCCGACTTAATTAATTCGACTTGGTTGTTTTCGTTCACTCCTCAGTTACGTGTATTACGTCATCGATATACAAGCACGTCATATCTATACATCACTTTGGTTTTGGTATTCATTAGTTTAATCATATTTTAACTTTAAAAATACTGTCTTTTTTAATCTATATACTGTATATATAATTGAGACAGGTTAATAATAATAATAATAATAAATGCAGAGCCCAAATGGTTAGGAGTTGAAATTTGGTACAGAGTTAGGGTACATCACGAAAACGCACACTAAGACGGGATTTTTTGAAATTCTTCCCCACGGGGGAGAGATACCGGATTAAGGTTTTGACAATGGAAGTATTAAGTAACAATGAAAGAGTTAACAATGGAAGTGCTGAGAGAAAGCAACATGCAAGATTTATAGACACAAATGCGGATTTGCATTTTTGCGAGAAATCGAACATATTTTTAGACTTATCTAAAAATTTTCTAATTAGTCTGAAAACAGGGGGCCCTAATTCTTGCATTCTTTGAAAACAGGTAAGATTGGCCATAATGTAATAATCTTAACCTTTGCTATTGTTAACCTGAGGCTTATCTGCTAGTATTTAATATTTTCTTAAGAAAATATTAAATACTAGCAATAAGAAAAATTGTTAATTAATAATAAAACAATTTTATTATTTTTTCTCATTATACGATTTCATTACATTGTCATTGCGATTGTCATTGCGGAATCAAAAAAGAAAGGTTGCCTGTAAAACTGATTTTTGCATTAATGCGTTTATTGTTTTTTGAATATTTTGCGTGCAAAAATTACTTGGATATTATTTTTCTAAAAATATCGTGGAAATAAGGTAGGTTGATACAGAAACTATTTATCGCACATGTACTATATGTGAGCTTCAAAATAAATAAATAAATAAATAAAAATAAATTTTATCAAACGATGAGATCAGCCGATTAATTGTATTGTGTACAATATTTTATACCCCCAAGGAAAATACTGTAGGTCTATGGTAAAATAAATTTTGTTTTTCCACAGTTAAACTTCGCCACTAATTGCTGTTGTGATAACTTTAATACGATCTTCTAACGACAGTACTTTGCATTTCTTTTGTTTTTCAGACAATTTTGAACAAATTGAAATGAATTTCCTTTGGCGCTAAACTAATTCATTAACACTTGCACCTAATTTCAAGGGTGAGAGAAGTGCCCGAGGTGGGATTGAACAAGAGTTTAGACTAATTCATTATATTAGGAAGGGTGAAACATTGTTGAACAATAATTTAGACCAGATATATTTGCAGAAGTTGTTGCTTATTACAGTTGTTGTATGTTGTTTCGGACCAAAAATTGATGCCTGTGGTTGCATTACACAGGTGGTCATTTAATTAATTAATACAGGTAAATTATATGAAGACTCTATGGATAAATTATTCTGTGTCAGAAATTTTTGACCGTTTTGACAGGTGCCCATCGAATGCAGGTGGTCGCCTAAGTAGTTTTCACTGTACCAAGTTTCATCAAAATACGTTCACGAGAACAAGCTCTAGACAGGTCTGAGTAGCGCAACTTTAATTATAACCACCCTGTATATTGAATTTTTGAAAAATATTTTTTTAAGAATCATTTTAATGATTAAACATTTTCAAAGGCTTTTGTCTTTAATGTCAACCCAAGCTACAAAACCAATTTGTATGTTAAAACAGTAGTATATAAATAACATTGCTAGACCCAATATACTAAAGTTATTAAGAGATGGCACCTAACACCTCTCTCTAGTGCCAAATTGGTTGCATAAGTTATCTAGTAATTAGCTGTATCTAGCCTGATAGAATTTGGCATTGGTTGGAGTCTAGCTTTAAAGCAGTAGTATGTAATCTAATTTACAAATATTCACAGTGGTTAAGTTCCATCTAAATTTCAATTAAATGTGTTTAAAATTGTATTTCATTATACATTTTGAACTACAGTAGAGCATCGATTATCTGACTCAATTGGGGACTGGGGTTGGTTGGATAATTGAAAAGTCGGATAACCGAAAAGTATGAAAAAATACATTATTAGTGTAGTATATTATTATATCACATGTAATTAGTATATCGCTATTAACCTACTTCGCGTTGAATTTTCCTCCATGTTAAGCCTAACAAAATTTTTTTTTAAATAATAATCGTCGGTATTGTATTGTTAAAAATTATTTTTAAATTATTTTATTGCTCACAAAACAAACAACCACTCATAATTACAAAATTAAGCCTCGTTTAAATACTTGCCTCCCTTTCGTGATCGAGCCAGTGTTGCCAGCTAAAACATGTAAAAGTACTATTAAAGTAGCCAAGACATAGCCAAATATTTTAGCACCACATCACTAGCGGACATTTGAATTTGCTGAATAGAACGCGGTCGGTTAACCAAGGTGACGGTTAATTGGTGGTCGGATAATCGATGCTCTACTGTATAAACAAACTACTAAATATTTTTGGAATGATTTTAAGCAATGTCTAAAATCTTTAATTAGTCTCAAAATTTAGAATCAAAATTATAAAACTTAAAACACATATCATACAAATGCATCTGGCAATTGAATATCTTAGTTTTGAGACTGGTAGCATTTCAATAAATCAGGTTTTAACCAAGGACTTATTTCTTACTACTTATTAAATATATTTTTAAAAGAAAAACCACTACAAAATATAAAATAATAATTTAGTAGGAAAATTTTAATATGCAAATTTATCTTTAAAATTTTTTGCTATTTTATTAAAAATTTGTGTTTTAATGTAACATTTTGAATTAGTTCTTTGAATATTTTAAAATAAATGAATACAATAATAAACTTTCTACAAACCTATAATCAGCATGAAATATGTTCAATTGCTTAGGCTAACGTTTTCAGATCCCACTGGATCCTTCATCAGGCTATGTTCCATTTGTAACGATCCGTTAGAATGCCATAAGCAATTGAACATATTTCACGCTGGTTATAGGTTTGTAGAAAGTTTATTATTATATTCTTCTGGTGTGTGTCTATTATTTATTTGTAAATGAGTACTTTATTTTATGTAGATCTGGACGTGTCTGATTCAAAGACTACCTCTCCATGTTCTTCTACGTAAATTACCCCGATTACATCGCTTGGGCTTTTTGAAAAATAATACAGCTTTATTCAAATCATTTATGGAAAGACTTCGCAGTGAAAGTGCTCTTGCTGATGGTCATTTAGGTCCTATAGAAACATTTATAATTGCCCGTCAACATGATATAAGTGGCAAACTAGATCAAGGGAAACCGTTAACAAGATATAGAAGTTCACAGTTAGATGATGCACTTCATAATCTTCATATGGCATCTTTTAAAGTAAGAATTTTTATGCTAACTTCTTTTTTGAACTCATCACAATTTCAAATTCTGTTCTAAAATAATGCAAAAAAATAATTTAAAAAATTTTATTAATTTTTATTTGTATCTTTTGTTTAATTAATTAACTGCATCTGTTATATTTTAAATGACTGCAAGAATATCAAATATATTCTACTTATATAAGTTTGTTTGTTTTATGAGAAAGATGTGTGTTTTTTTATTCATATGAGTTCAGATAGTCATTGTATTACATTAATTCTTTCAATATACAAATTTGAATTTTTTGTTTTTTGGGCAAATTGTATTTCTAATTATAAATTCATATATTTATTTTAATTTTATTAAAATCTAATGCATTGGCACTGATTACTGCTAAAAAAGTTACTAATTACTGGTATTAATGAATTATGAAATATAAAAAATTAAATATTTTGTAGAAATACTTGTGATAATTTTAATATTTTCTGTGTTTTATAATAAAATTAATATATAAAAACAGTGGCATCAATTACTGATTATATGATAACATCAGCAAGTTTAAGATTTTGTCAGTTGTCACTATGAAAATTTTAAGTATTTATAATAATTTATAATTTTTTAATTTATAATATATAACTTAGTTTAGCAATAAGATATTTCCATTTCATTTATCCTATACTGTATTTTTATTACAAGGAAATCATTGTGTAATTTATGATTTAGTTTCAAGAAAAGATAAATTATTTTAACAATGAAGTTCTTTGCATTTTGTGAGCTGGTATAACTATTAATTTTGAAACCAAAACTAAAAAACTAGATGAGATAATTGATATGACAGGTGTTTTGTGAATATTGATGGTTAATAAACATAAAATTTGCTTAAAAAATGATAATTGGAAGATAGACAAGTCTAGATGGAGTGACAAACCTGAGAGCTAGATGATAAAAATGAATAACATTCGTGATGAAATGCACTGAAGTGAACAGATGAAATAGTTATCAGTAGAGTGGAGAGTATTGGCTTTATACGTTGACAAAACTAGAATATTATGCAGATTACATAATGATTTTAGATAAATTTGACTGTTTCAGAAAAGTTTTTTTTCTGAAACAGTCAAATTTAAAAACTAAGTTTTCAGAAAAACTTAATTTTTTTCATTGATTATTTCAAAGTTTTTATTTTCTTGTTTTTTTAATAAAGTTCAGGAATTTTAATGCTTTTTCTTGAGCATACCTCACATTTTCATACCTCTGGTATTGAAATGTAAAATCTCTAGGGATGTCTGATTGGAGAAGGAGAATATTTTTTGTTTGGCTTTTCTGACTTATACCAAGATTTCCAACTTTTCAGAATTGAAATTTTATACAATGTAAGATTTTGCAATTAAGTTCCAGATTATATGACCTTTAAAAAAATTCCATGTTAGAGCAAAACAGTTTTTAATATTGTTTGAATGATTGTTTTTAATCTCTGAAAAATATTAATTTTTGCACTTGAGCAGAATTTTATTTTTTATTGACACATTTTAATTTGCTGTCATTATTTTTTCTTGTTTTTGTTATTTTATCTTCAAATTATATATCTTTCAATATTGATTTGATTTCGGTAAACAAGAAGTACTCTGCAAGAGATTGCCCCCTGTTGTTTACTTTGAAGATCAAGGTGATCATCCCATGTTTAGAATTTACACTGATGGTTCTAAGATGAGTGGCGATGTGGATGCCGCTTTTGTAGTTACTCCGACTTAGTCCACGAACTTCATAACACTTGCTTCCATCTAGGTATACACAGGCAGAAACTGTAGCTATTTATATGAACTTAATTCACATTAGGCATAGGAAGGACAAAAGACACTACTTCAAAAGACATTTATTCTGACAGTAGGATAGCTTTACACAGGATTGCAAAGTCTGATAGTTGCTTAATACTCATCCATCTCATACACCACATTCTTAGACACTTAGACAACAACATTAGAATAGATTTCCAATGGGTCCTGGGTCATGCGGGGGTACTCGGCAACGAGATCACTGATCGTCTTGCCAAACAAGCTGCAAAGTCTTCAGTCACTAGTACTTTCAGTTCATTCTTACCTCATACATCAGCAATCATGTCAAGAAGCAAATCTTTATTCTCTGGCAAGATAACTGGAACCATGACACCACTAGTAGGCTCACCTATACTTTCATCTCCAAGGTTTACACTACTGCAATTTTTTGCCACTTTTAACCTAGTTACACCCTCACTCAGCTACTTACAGAACAGGGCAACATTAAGCAATACTTGCATAGATTTAACCTTGGGGACAATCCACAATGCGATTGTGGTATTCAGGAGGACCAAACACCACTTCACTTAGTTTTTTGCTGCAATAGGTACAGTAAAATCACATTATGGATAGTTTAATGAGAGCTGTTATTCTTGAAGGGTGCAACTGGCCTTGCAACCTGCATCAACTTATCCACACACATAGAATGTTCCATCATTTACTCACATTTATATTCCTTAGTGGGGCTCTTGAGAGCACTCATTCCGGGGGCACAGATGGCAACTAGCTTTCCCTTGCTTTGTTTCAACTGTTGGTATATAGCTACCTTTCAACTTTGTAATTTAATTCTTATTTTTTGCCTTCTTTTTCAGACTAAATTCAGTTAGTCCTAGTTCTAAGTTAGATTAGGGACTCTTAGCTTGGTTTCCGGTTAGGTTATGATAGATTAGGTTAAATTAGATTAGGGTTTGTTAGCTTTAGTCATCTAGTTAGGTTTGTCCTAGGTTATGATAGGTTAGTTTAGTTAGTGAGTAAGTTAATGTTTAAAAAAATAAATAAATAAATAAAAATTTTGGGTCTTGCTCGTTTTTTCTCTGTCGGTCCATTCATCTCATTTAGTTTGTCATTGTATTCATTTGTTTTTCACACTATCTGTCTAGCTGTTAAGTAGTATTAAGATTTGCAATTGTGTTCAGTTTTATTAATATTAAGTAGATATAAGTCTTCTTGCTAACAGCCACTTGGCACTAACTTCTGCACTTAGCTATTTGTGGCGGCACTCAATTATTGATGTTCTGTACACTTGGGTTTTCTTTTAGATCCTTCTGGGGACTATGGCCTTGCAGCCTAAAAACTGTATGCTAACATCAAACATAGAGGGTACTGTAGCCATATGTATGCCATTCAGAGGGATCCTACCTTTCTCTACTGTCTATCTCCTCCCTCCTCCTTCTCCACCCCTTTCCCTTACCCTCTTTTCTGCTGGCTAAACATCTCGTGTATGGCTGATATCTTTCTTGTTTGTTTGTTTGCAAGAGATAACTTGAAATAAGGGAAATGGTTAGTTGTGCAATTTCATGTTTTGTTAAAAATCTTCAGAACAATCTTACAACATGTTTTGACCAGCATAACTATAATGTAATAACTAAAAACTGCAACAGTAAACTGCATTGTTCTTTAAGGTATCTCAAGTGTCTGAATATCTACTGTTGCAGTTTTTATATTGTAAGATTTTATTCTGAAGATCTGCAAGAATGATGCAAAGTTTGCCTGTGAAAATTTCTTAATCATCACCAAGAATAAAACATTCATTGTTCTGTAGCAAGCACAACAGTAAATTGTTTTTATTTGACAAATACTTTTTTGAATAAACAATCCAAAATTTTTTAAGTCAAAATTGATTGAATTTTAGAGATACTGTTGATTATTCTTTGCTATATTTCTTTGTTTCTGAATAATATTGAAGATTATCTAGTTTTATCACATCGTTTATGATCTTTTAGTAAATTTTCACAAGGAAATCTATAAGCTATAATTACAGTAATGAAAATGTGCCGACTTATCACTTCTAGTAATTAACATGTTCAGTACTGAAGATGATTTGGAGCAGTCTACACTGCCTCATTCAATATGCTGAGGATGCTTACAGAAGTCCTTAAGCTTTTTAAAAATTTGCCTGAGTGATGATATAATCTTTTATTTATAAGAAAGAAACTTTATTTTTATAGTTTACTTGTATACTTCTAAAATATGTTTCATAAAAAGAAAGGTCAGTTGCCAAAAAAGTGTACAGGTATACCTTGAGTTATGTTGTTTTCAATTATACGTCATTTGTCAAAAAATATATGGAAAAATAAAAATCAAGTTTAAGTTATTTTATTCGACTGCCACAAATACTGAAGTTGTAATATCACTAGAAAAGCATTAAAGCACATAAAATCATATTAAAATATACATTTACAGTAAATGTTAATATAATCATCATAAATCCTAGAGAACGAAACATGAAAACATCTGTGTTACTCTGTTGTGGTCTTATTTAGCGGTCTTTAAGAGCTCAATATTGGCATTTTCCATTGTAGTTCCAATATCTACTGTTTGGTGTTATTGTCAGTGCCACTTGATGTTGGTAAATTTAACATAAATTAGTTTGTTATTTACTATTGCAAAATAATTTAAATAACTGTATTTGTTATTTAACCTTACAAATCATCATATTTTATAATGTCTTAGAGCAAACCACATTCACAAATAGTCTGCGATGTACTGTAAAACATCACCAAATTGTAAACATGTACATTTACAAGTATGTACTGTACGTACATGAAATCGTAAATTTAGATTACTTTTTCTGTACTATATTAAAAACTAAAATTGATTTGTTTGTAAGCTTAAAATAGATTCTTATTATCCATATATTATTAAAAATGCATTTATAAATAAAATACAGAACTGGGAATGGTTATTTGTGTTTAGCCTAGTGACAAGTAAATTCGGAGACAACTAAATTCGACTTACATCATTTTTCGACTTAAGTCGCCTCTCCTGGAACCAATTACTGACGTAAGGTGAGGTATACCTGTATGGTCTTAGAACACAAATAATTAATGGTGATCCTTTTTGGGCAGTTTTGTCTTCAATTTTATTAAACAATAAATTTAATTTATTGTAATTATAATGACCAATGTAATTTTTCATTTTTCTCACTAGCAATACTGCCACGGCTCACTTTTCTCACCATGTCATTCA